GTCAATGTAAGAGGCTGACACCACACATGTGATTGGCTGTGACACTGCCTTGGTAATAACCTGATGCTGTGGATCAGCCAATCTGTGAGATAACAGCAGACTTGGATTCAGGGTCATTCTGAGTCCATTCTAAGAGACCTGCTCCTGAAGGTGCTGTCGGAGTTGGACATCCACCCTCTTAGCAATCAGGTTTTCAATCTGAGCAATACCTACATCAAAGTGATACTGGGTATCATGAACCTTCTCTTCATTAAAACTGTGAGCGCAAATACCAGAACTATCACTCACTTACACTGCAGAGAGGGAAAGAACAGGGAGAGAAACTCTGTTAAACAGAGTGGAGTGGAATAGGGAAGAAGGGAGTCACTGCTGTAAGAGGAAGAAAAGGTTTCTTTGTCAAGACCACATTCAGGCAGGAGGAAGAGGGGAACGTTCAGCTGAGCAAAGAGGTGCTGGAGAAATTAAAGGACAAATACGTTCGCAGTTTGGTCTTGGAGCACTCCTCCACCCCAGTTGTTGATTAGTAAGCATGTTATGCCTCGTTATGCCATCAGTTGGATCAAACTTCCAGTGCGTCACAACTGGTCCTGGGTTTTGTGGTCTCCTGGATGCAGATGTCAGCCCTGATGGTAAATAAACCAGGGAAAGATTCCAGGGACCAGGGCAATGTTGCGTGGCTGTAAACAGTTTGGTCAGAGAGTGGGAGTGCTCACACATTATTCACAAGAGGATGTTCTTCAGCATTAACTATGACTATATCCTTACTGAGCAGTTTAAATTTTTTGACAACAACCACAAGCATTCACACTCTCCACACCACTGACACTCAGCGACAGTGTGTACTATCTATAAGATGCGGTGCAGACATTCACCAAAGCTCCTTGAACAGCACCATCCAAACCCACAACCATTATCAACTGGAAGGACAAACGCAGCAGACACATGGGAACACCACCACCTGTATGTTGCCCTCCAAACCATTCACCATCCTGACTGGGAGATACATCATTGTTCCTTCACTGTCGCTGGGTCAAAACCCTGGAATTCCCTCCCTTAGAGCTCTGTGGGGCTACTTACACCAAATGGACTGCAGAGGATCAAGAAGACACCACCTTCTCAAGGGCACCTAGGGATGAGCAGTAAATGCTGGCCCAACCAGCGATGCCCATGTTCCATGAATGAATTAATGAAGAAGTTTGGCAGGAAAATGTAGTGGCAATGAGATACAATGTGGAAATAAAACAGTGTATTCACCAAGCAATTGAAATATAGAGAACACTGGGAAACCTCACTATTTGTCTAAGTCCCTATCCATCAGTGTGCTGATTTGTAAGGTTATCTGGAACCGAACAGTAGGAACTGCACCTCTAGGGGAAGTCTGCCCTAAATCCAGCAAAAGTAGCAACAGGTACAGCTGCTTGCCTTAGGTATTAGATTATGCCGAATTGATTCTGTTCCAAACAATTATCATTGTGTGACAACTTTAAACCTAAAAAGATTTCCTTCTTAACTGTCAAAATCTCTGAAATTCCTGCCTAACCGCACTGTGGATGCACCTAAATCACATGACTCCAGCAGCTCAAGGCCAATTAGTGATGAGCAGTAAATGCTGGCATACCTAAAGATACCCATGAAGACTGAATAAATACGAAACAATGAAATCACCAGATGCTGTCTCAACAATGGATAACCGTCACTCGGCAGGAAGCTCCTAAGTAATATGGAAACTATGGTGACCATATACTATGGGAGTGAACTATCACTATCCTCTTCACTAGAGCATGGTGGCTGTACCAATTGGTGATGAGGAATTCAGCATGAACTACTTACCTGTGGGTAACCCAAATCAGGGCCATCTCCATATTTCCTACATAACAGCATGTCTTTACCTTTTATATCTGCATTTCAGGACATGTTTTCCCAACCCTTTGAGTTTCCTTATCAGCTTCATGTTAGACACTTGTGTAGTGGAAGGAATTTACAGCAACTGCTAAAACACAGGCCACCTTAATGTTTTCAATGGGATGTGCCAGCCTTCCTCTTTGGCAGCTGCTCAAATTGGATCCAGGTGGAAGTGAATTTGGCACAGAAATGTATCCACTGAACCGCCGAAGCTGCACACCCAAGTTAATGTGAACTTGAGTATTTTTTTCTCCCTGAAATTGTTTCTCTTCTTATTGCAGCATAGGTCAGGGGAAGGTCATGGGAGTTCTGGCCCTGAAGGGGAACATTTTGGATGTGTTAAGGGGCATTGGGACTTTGTGACATTGAAAAACAAACAAGGCCACAGATTCCTTTGTTCTAGCTGAGTATCTTCCCAAACAATTGTGTCATTTTAGCAGCTACTGCAACCCCTTGTACAAACATGTGGGCTAGGAGCAGGAGCAGGCCATTCAGCCCTTTCAAGCCTGTTCTGATATTCATGGCTGCTTTCATTACCCCACATTCTTACTTATTCCCAACTTTCACCTCCTTGCTTTTCAAGAATCTAATCCAAAGATAATAATTAGTGGGTGAAGTTTCCTCTTTGTAGCCATTGGCAGCAGCTCTGAGTCCCAAGGTCTGTGTTCATGCCCCACTCCAGGGCTGACATTCCAGTGCAGGTACTGAGAGAAAGCTGCACTGTCAGGGCTGCCAGTTTTCCAGGTGAGATGTCAAACTGAGGTCCTGCCTACCATGACACTATTCGCAAGGAAGGAAGTGGAGTTGTCCCTGGTGTCCTGTCTGACATATATTCCTCAATCAACATCATGAAAAAAAATCACCTGGCCATTAATACATTGCTGTCTCTGGGAGCTTGCTGTGCACATAATGGATCCTGTGTTTCTTACTTTGCAAATAGTGACTACAATTCAAGTAGGTGCTCCATTGACTGCAAAGTGCTTAGCGAGATCTAGTGGCTGTGAAAACCACTACACAAGTGCAAATCTTTCTTTCAATTTGGACCTTTCAATGAATAGGTGTTTTATTTCACCTCTTCGCTTAGCCCATTGTTTAGGAAAGGGAAACAGAGGTGCAGGAACAGGGCATCTCAGTACAAATCTCCCTGCACCTGGGCCCTCTGCGGCTAGCATTTTGCCCTTTCATACATTTTAACATGGGAGACACTATCACAGGATTGGTTAGTAAGTTTGCAGATGACACCAAAATTGGTGATGTTGTGGACAGCAAAGAAGGTTAACTCAGAGTACAACGGGATTTCATTAGATGGGCCAGTGGGCCGAGGAGTGGCAGATGGAGTTTAGTTTAGATAAATATGAGGCGTTGCATTCTGGAAAGGCGAATCAGAGCAGGACTAATAGTGGTAAGGTCCTGGGGGCTGTTGCTGAACAAAGAGACCTTGGAGTGCAGGTTCAAAGTTTCTTGAAAGTGGAGTCGCGGGTAGATAGGATAGTGAAGAAGGCCTTTGGTATGCTTGCCTTTATTGGTCCCTGCATTGAGTATAGGAGTTGGGAGGTCATATTGCAGCTGTACAGGACATTGGTTAGACCACTATTGGAATAGGCCTGCAATGCCTACCTCCCTGCTATAGGAAAGATGTTGCGAAACTTGAAAGGGTTCAGAAGAGATTTACAAGGATGTTGCCAGGGTTGGAGGGTTTGAGATATAGGAAGAGGCTGAATAGACTGGAACTATTTTCCTTGGCGCGTCGGAGGCTGAGGGGTGACCTTATAGAAGTTTATAAAATCATGAGGGGCATGGATAGGGTGAATAGACAAGGTCTTCTCCCCGGGATAGGGGAGTCCAAAACTAGAGGGCATAGATTGAAGGTGAGAGGGGAAAGATTTAAAAGGGACCTAAGGGGCAACTTTTTCGCGCAGAAGGTGGTACGTGTTTGGAACAAGCTGCCAGAGGAAGTGGTGGATGTTGTTATGAATACAACACTTGAAAGGCATCTGAATGGGTATATGAATAGGAGGGGTTTAGAGCGATATGGGCCAAATGGGATAGATTTGTATAGGATGTCTGGTCGGCATGGATTAGTTGGACTGAAGGGTTTTTTTCCATGCTCTATGACCCTATGCAGATGGTTATGTCGCAGAAGGAGGCCATTTGGCCCATTATGTCTACACTGGCTCTTGAAATGACCATCGTTACATGGTGCGAAGCTCCCTCCTCTTCCCCAGACCCTCGCACACTATTTCTATCCAAATAATCATCCAATGTCCTCTTGGATGGTTCAATTGAACCTGCCTCCACCATATTTCCAGGCAGTGCATTGCATACCGTAACTGCTCGCTGTGTTAAAAAGTCTTTTCTCGCATCACCCTTGCTTCTTTAGTGTGTCACTTTTAACCTACACACCTCTCGTTCTTGTTCGTCTTACAGGTGGGAACAGCTTCTCCCTATTGTCTCTACACAGCCCACTTTGAAAACCTCCATCAAATTCTTTTATTATCACATTTCACTTTGATTAGAAGACAGTACTTGGTTCCTGTGGGTACAATGGCACTGCCCCTACCTCTGGGACAGAAGACCCAGGTTCAAGTCTAACCTGCCTCAGAGGCAGCTCTGGGGTGGGGAAAAAATGGTTCTTGTGGCAATTTCCTTATTTCTGAGTTCAGGTCCCACATCTAGGGAGGGGGTTGGTTAGTTCAGTTGGCTGGTGAGTGATGCTAACAGTGTGGGTTCAATTCCTGCACTGGCTGAGCTTATTCTGAAGGTCTCTCCTCATCCTCCTTCCCCCTCACTTGGGGCAATGGTGACCCTCAAATTAAACCACCACCAGTCATTTCTCTCTCTCATCAGAGAGCAATGGGCAATATGGTCTGGTAAGGCTGTGGCAACTTTGCTTTAATCCGGTAGACGAGTTGATTAGAAATAATTTTTGGACAGTTAAGGGTCTTCAGGAAGAGAAAAACACAACGTGGAAGAAGGCCCAGTAGAAGAGACAGCAAGGAGCTGTAAGCCGGAGGTACTGACTCACCGTCAGTCACATTTAGCTGGTTGCTAAGGTACGGGCGCTCCTGCGGCAGAGAGGTGGAGTCCTGTTACGGGAAGTGATGTTGCACCGACGGAGAAAACCATTTTTGCTCCCAAAAGAGGAAGGATGTGAGATGAATTGAAGTGCATTTAAATTCACGAAGTCTGAGCTGGAGTTGTTTCCGCGTGTAACCAGTGAGTGAGTGAGTGAGTGAGTCAGGGTGAAATTGGCCGAGCTGCAGCAGCGATTCACCAGTGAAGGGGAACAGCTGGCTGGAAGGTAGTTTGTACAATTGTACAACTGATCCCACTTTTTGAAATGTTTACTGCCTGTCAAAGGTTTTAATCTAGTTTAAGGAAGTTTGTTTTAGATTGCTGCAAAATTGAATTCTGTTTGTGACCCTGCTCTGTGAGGAATCCCCTGGTCTGATCTGTTTCAAACAAAGGAAAAGACCTGAAATAGACAAGTTTTTTTTTGACATTGACTCGGTATCTTCTGAAATGAACAGGTTTGTGCTTGTTAAGAATGACGTGGGCTGTGCCACAGGACCTGGGGTATTTTTTTCCCTTCGCCTGCACTTTCTAATTTACCTCCTGGTCCTTTCCAAACTTTGATAGACCAGTGGCATTACTTTGCTCCTTTAAAGTTCATAGCCAGTCGCTCCACACAATTTGAGCGAAGGAACCGGCGTTGCCGTAGTTTGGTACCAATTTCACGGGCCATATCGCATCTTCTAACCCAGGGAGGAGTGAGGTCACTCAAACCTGTAGTTCTTGTGCAATCTGCCTTTAGACTTTGGGGTCTTTTATTTTGTTGTTTAGTGTTTCTTTGTCATCTACCGCGTCCTTAAACATGTGTCTCCCGGCGCAAATTCTGAGTTAAGTTTGGCGTGGGGAGAGGACGTGGCGGGAGGCAAGTGTTTTGGGGGGGTGGGGGGGAACTGGAGATTGCAAGAAAACTGCACTGTTCAAAGATAAAGTACAGGACTCGACATGTCTGCAATATTCGGCTGTGTTTAAAGAGAAACCTGTTAAAAGGATCATTTGCATTTTCCCAAACTGCAGTCTCTCTGCAATAATTCTGTGTTTTGTGTCTCCTGTTAGGGTTTAGAATTGTAACCAGAATCGTTGTGTAAAGCTCTCCAGCCATATCATGGGACTGACGAGCTCTCTTGACGGGCTGCAGTCATGATATTTTTAACCGCCCTGTGTGAGAGACCTTAGATTCTCCTCTGGAGGTGCTGGGTCTTGAATCACGCCTCCTGGCTCAGAGGCAGGGACTTTACCGCCGTGCCACAAGTGCCCTCGTGTTGTGGCTGTTTCAATGCAAGCCTATTACACAGAGCTGCTTAGGGCGCCTGGGGAGTTGTCAGAGAACTAGTAAGTTTCTCACCATGATGCTCCAGTCCATAGCCAGCCTATTTCTTTTTTAACTGACCATCTCAACCGTCTATATTACTGCTTTGAATTGAAAACAAAAAAAAAATGCTGGATATCACAGTGGGTTAGGCAGCATCTGTGGAGAGACAGCAAGCTAACATTTTCAGGTGACCCTTCATTAGTTTTTTTTTCAGCACAGATCCCAGCATCTGCAGTAATTTTCACCCCACATTACTACTTTCCTAGATTTGGAATTACTTGTGTCTATAAAGCTGTAGAACACGTGTGGATCTGCTCTGGTTAAGATGTAAGATGAGTTGTGATGAGATCCCCCATGGATATATGTGCATTGCACCAGCAAGACATTCACATATGTCAATATTGGAACAAATGTTCACTTTTGTCCATTCAAGAAGTGTGTGTAATTTTAACATTAACCAACTTTTTGTTCCAGCATGTTCTCAGCCCTCCACCATTGGTTCTCTGTTTTAAAACGAGCATCCTGAAAATGCTTTCATACAGGTTTTTGTTGAATTGACTTTAGATTTTTTTTAAACAGCAGGTAAATGGGAATGATTCTGTCCCTGATTTTTACAACAGAGACTCTGTTGCACCAGATAAGCGGGCTATTATCATTCATTAACAGCTCACTTGCCTTGCATCACTCCCCATGATGTGTTTTAATGTTTTATTATAATTGCCCTCCCACATTGACTGTAACCAGCCCAACCCTGTGTTGCTCCTTGGGGAAGGTGCAGTACACATTCCAATTAAGACTGGACTAGCATCCATTGCAGCTGTTTTATTTTTCTCCCAAATATCAGGGAAGTTGCTTGAGAGAGGTCCAGATGAGTTGACACTGGCATAAGGATGATGGTCCAAAAAGTTTATGTATGATAGGTTTTGAAAAGGTTGTTGGGTCATGCGCGATGCTGCTTTGATTGTTTTCTTGAGTAACTGTCAGTCAGTCACAGCCACCTTGGAACATTGATAGTTTTCATTTTAAAAACTGAGAGACCTTGTCTTTGAGGCACCCATGTAGTGGGGATGACCTGTTGACCAGAGGTCAACTGTTCTCCCTGTCCTGAGCCAATTTAAAAAAAAATTGTGGCAATCTGGCAACCTTCTCTGCTTGTAAAAACCATAAGATGTAGGTTCTGCCCAAAGAGTCTGCTCCACCATCCATGGGATCATAGTGCTCGACTTGCCAGCCTTTTGCTTATAACTACCGATTTCCATACAGATTTAAAATTATTTTTGGCTTTCGGCTGTCAGCCTCCAAATAAAATCATTAAATAAATGATTGGTTGAATTAATTTTCAGAATGTTGTTGGAATCTGTTGTGCATCTGGAACCCTTTAGGGTGTGGTTTTATCGACATTTTTTGCTGGTGCCTGTCACCCCTTCACAGACAGTTTGAACGTTGATGGTGACTAATGCTGGTCCCGTTTCTTATCACCAGAGTCCCGAAGATAAGTCCTGGGAAGACTGACAGACTTCCTGAAGGTAACAGTCATAGTTATTCAGTTATTTCATTTTGATTTCTTGTTGACACGTGTACCTAGGTACAGTGACATGTTTTGTTTTGCGTGCAATACAGGCAGATCATATCATTCAAAGTACATGAGGGTAATAGAACAGAACGAGGAATATAATGTTACAGCTGTAGAAAGGCTCACAAACAGTGCGATCAACATTAAATTTAAACATTGAGAGGTTCATTCGGAAGCCTAATAACAGCGGGGAAGAAGATGTTCTTGAATCTGTTGGTACGTGTGTTTAAGCTTTTGTATCTTCTGCCCGACAGAAGAGATTATAACCAGGGTGAGAGGGGTCTTTGATTATGTTGGCTATCTTCCTGAGGCAGTGAGGTGTATAGATGGAGTCATTGGATGGAAGGTTGGCTTGTGTGACGGACTGGGCTGTGTTTGCAATTCTCTGTAGTTTCTTGCGGTCCTGGGCAGAGCAATTGCCGTACCAAGCTGTGATGAATCCGGACATGCTAAATTTCCTTAGCCTCCTGAGGAAGTGGATGTGTTGCTGTGGTTTCTTGACTGTAACATCAACGTGGGTGGACTAGGACAGATTGTCGGTGACCATCATTCCTTAGGAACTTGATGCTCTCTACCAAGTCCACCACAGCACCATTGATGTGGACAGGAGTGTGGCCTCCACTCTACTTCCTGAAGTCAATGACCAGCTTTTTCATTTTGCTGACATTGAGGGAGAGATTGTTATCTCTGCACCATGCCACCAAACACTGGATCTCTTTCCTGTATTAAGTTAATGTGTGTTCCTCCTGGTTCTGCAAGATGATTTTCAACTGCTATTTTAATTCAAAAATATCACTTTCTTTAGCCTCAGCTACCACAAAGCAATCCTGAAGGCCGGCGCTGACAAGCAAGAGAAAGAAGGGCTCAGGTACAAAGGGAGCAAATTACTGGAGGTCCTAGTGGAGTCTGGGAATTGCAGAGGCAAACTTAAGAAAGCAATTTGGAGAGCAAAAAGGGTCATGAGAAAACACCGGTGGGTAAAATTAGGGAGAATCCCAAGATATCCTGTAAGTGTATCAACAGGAGGAGGATAACCAGGGAGAGAGTAGGGTGTATTAGGGAGGAATCTGTGGGAGGAGCTGGAGGACATTGATAAGGTGTTAAACGAGTGCTTCACTTCTGTCATCACTTGGGAGAAGAAGGTACAAAAATTCAGGCAGAGATTCATGGAGCAGTTTGCCACACAGTGAGGGGGTACTGGAGGTTTTGATGGGTTTAGCAGAGGACAAATCCAGGTCTGGATGAGTTGCTGTGGGAGGTGAGGGAGACAGTTTTTAATTTTTAACCCATATTTTTTAATCCACAGCGGAGGTAACAGGGGACTGGAGCACTGCTAACGTGGTTCCACTTTTCAAGAAGAGTGGTAGAAATAAATCAGGGAATTACTGACCTGTGAGTCTCGCATCAGTGGTAGGGAAACAACTGGAGAAAATTCTGAAGGAGAGACTGAATCTCAACTTGGAGAGGCAAGGTTTGATCAGAGATAGTCAGCAAGGCTTTGTTAGAGAGAGGCCATGCCTAACAAATTAAATTAAAAGTTTCCAAGAAGGTTAGCAGGTTTGTAGTTGATGGTGTTTATAGGGATTTCAGCAGAACTTTTGACCGTGTCCCCAATGGGAGACTGACAAAGATAGTAAAGCACATGGATTCAGGGTAATTTGGCAAGATGGATCAAAAATTTGCTTACTGGTAGGCAATAGAGTGTAGTGGTAGAAGGTTATTTCTGTGATTGGAGGCCGGTGTACCACAGGGACTGGTGCTGGGCTCTTGTTGTTCATGATATATATAAACAATATTGTTGAAAATGTAGGGGGGTTGGGGGAGATGGTAAGTAAGCTTGGGGATGACACTGAGATTGGCGGTGGTTAATAGTGAGGAGGATGGTGTTTAGGTTAGAGGAGGATACTGAGGGATTGGTCAGATGGGCAGATGGAACTTCACTCTAAAAAATATGAGTAATACACTTTGGAAGAAGTGACAAGACAAGGAAGTACTTGATGTATGGCAGACCACCTCAGGAACAGGGCGATCTCGGGCTTTTTGCCCACAGATCCCTGATGACTGCAGGATAGGTTAACAGGGTGGTTAAGAAGGCATACAGGACATGCCTTTATCAGTCATGCCGTGGGTTATAAGAGCAGGGAAGTTATGCTAGAGCTGTACGAAACTCTGGTTAGTCCACAGCTGGAGTACTGTATGCAGTTCTGGTCACCACACCATAGGGAGGATGTGATTGCACTGGAGGGGATGCAGAGGAGATTCACCAGGATGTTGCCTGGATTGGAGTATTTTCTCTATGAAAAGAAGCTCATTAGACTCACCTTTTTTTTAAAGGGAAGGTTGAGAAGGGATCTGATTTGAGGGCATGGACAGGGTGGTTAGGAAGCAGCTGTGCGCCTTTGTTCAAGGGTCAATAATGAGGAGGCATAACTTTTAAGGTGAAAGGTAGCAGGCTTAGAAGGGATTTGAGACAAAAGCTTTTTTTGATAGGCATCTGGAAGGAGAGTAGAAGTGGGAAACTTCGCAACCTTTTTAAAAAAAATACTTGAATGAGCACTTGAAATGTCATAACATTCAAGGCTGAGGGCCATGGGCTGGAAAGTGAGATCACTGTAGATAGGTTTGACTGATCAATTTCTGTCAGGATCCCTAAACTTTATAATGATTTGCATTTGACCCAGATGGGAACCAGGATGCTTGGAAAAACGATTTGACTCTGTTTTGGATCAAACTGTGCATTTCAACATGTCCTTGAAGTGCAAGATGTTGGCCCCTGGAACTGGGCTGTGCTCCGTTTGTAAAATAGATTTCGCAAGGTACTATTTCTACCCTGTTATCCCGGGGTTATTTGTCCATTTCAGCAATACACTGCCGCCACAATGCTGTCCACCCAAATCTCGCATCTCCTCTCTCTTAAAGGCTTTGTTTCCATCTGAAATGGGCGCTTACGCATTTGTTAATTGGACAATGATAATTTGTTTTCTCTTGTGGCCTTGTGTTTCTTAAACCCTGAATGATGCTCTTGGTAACACTGTCCCTCCCATTATGCCAGCAGAAGTCAACCAATGATAGTAGGAACTGCAGATGCTGGAGAATCCGAGACAACAAGGTGCAGGGCTGGATGAACACAGCAGGCCAATCTCTGCTCCTAGAGCAGAGATTGGCCTGCTGTGTTCATCCAGCCCTGCACCTTGTTGTCTCGAAGTCAACCAATGTGTCTGTGTGGCTTTAGCTGCAGACTGCCTGAGAGGGAACGCTCATCATTTGTTCAGATTTTGGTGCTGTTGTTTCCAGGCAACCAGGAGCTGACCATATATTAAAGAATGTAAATGTGGTTTATTTAAATTACCTCTTTCACATATAAACAGTGTGCTTTCTAAACTGATTAAAAACTCTATTTATTGGGTACGGTCAAACTAAAATCTAGTCTGTGATCCATTGAGTGGCAAATTAGGAAATCTTCTCTGTTAACATTTTTTTTACTATTCTTGGCTGTGAATTGTTTTGAAGTATTTTCACTGGGCTGGGTCTGCTTCCCCCTCTCTGTCCAGAATTCTGAGATGTCAAAATGCTGGTAGTTCATAGACCCAGGAAGATGAGCCCAGAATTTAATAGACCAGCCTGCCCAGCATTGCACAAGGAGGATGGTCTGAAGATCTCTCCCCTGCCTTATTGCAGGTTTTGCCATTACACAGGGGAAGTAAAGAGCGGTTCCTGCAGCTGGAGTTGGTTTGAAATCCAGCACTGACACCAGCCAGATGTCTTGTCTTCCTTCCTCCCAGTCCAGCAGGGTGTTACTATGGGCTTTGAAAGGACGTCTCTGAGGCGTACTATCTTGCACCATATTTGATAACGGTGCCAATTTAAATTGTGGGGTAAACATGAATCAGGAATACACTTTATTCAGTGTTATAAAGGGGTAAGTGAACAGGAACAGGATAGAGCTGGTTAGTTCACTTGTTGAGATGACGTGCATGTGGTTCAATTCCCAATCCAGTTGGTGTAGGTATTTGGAACTATCTTGCTCACCTTGTGCTTGATGTGCAGTGGTTCCCTTCAAGCTACACAACCAATTGTCACATATTTTATCAGGAAAAGATGCTTATGGTCCATGTGAACTGTGGCCTAAATATCTGAATGAATGGGAACATATTCCCCCTCCCCCATGATTCCCAGATGTTTGTGCCAGTTATCCACTGCTTTCTGTGACGAATATGGAAAAAGGTTGCATTATGATAAAGAATTTGCATTGACAGTGTAAATTCCAGTGGATGTTACAGCTTTACCATTGTTTCAATGGATTAGTTTGAAGTCGCTCACACTGGGGAGGTATCGCTGTACGTTCACTCTAGGAGGCAGAAGGGGGAGTTGAGCTGTGGGTTATGCATGTGCGACTGTTCAACCTTAAAGGGAGAACTAATGAAAAGTGGATGCTCTAGAGTGCTGAGAAAGTCAGTGAGATGTGGGGGAAGTCAACAGGGGCCCATAAGGTTGTGGTTGGGGCTGAGAATAGGGAGGTTTACTTTGCATTGGACAATGCTGTATCTGATGGAAGTATCCCCAGATGCTAGGTGACTGAAATGGGTCATAAATAGAATTTCTCTGCAGGAGACATTCTTTAAGAAAATAGAATTTTTGTTGTAAAATATATTAAGATTTACTTTTGTGTGAAATGCTCAGATGCAGAGTTGACTTTAATGCGCTGGAACTGGCAGCATGCTCTGTTAGTGCTTGGGCCACAGCCATTTACTCCAATGACTTGAGTAGTTTTGCTTTGAACATCATTGAAAACTTGGACAACTCCATCCCTTTAGAAAGCAGTTGTGACTGTGGCCTGAGCAGGGGAGCTCTGATGGGGAAGAGACCGTTTTTCACAAAGGCTGATGGGAGAATCACATGGCTAAGGCCGGAGCTTGGTGGACCATGGAGCTGGGTGGGTACAGAATTCCCTGA